CCATGTCCACATCACCAAATATATTTGGCCAATAATAGGGCTTTAAACAGCCACATCATGTTTGGTTTGGGCATGCGAAACCCAATTTTAATTTCGGTTTAATCTACCGAAACCCGGTTTGTTTTCAGTCAATATTAAGTTACAAAATAAAAAGAAGATAAAGTAAATGCTTTTATATATACAGTCCAAAACGACCATCATCATTACTCCATGACCAAACAATAGAACTACCAAAGTTTTCAGAACTTATAATTACTAACAAAGAAATCATGAAAAACAAAATCGTAAATATGTTCATATATTTGTTTATAAAAAAAAAATATATATATATAGTAGAACCTCAATAAAATAAAATGTTAAGACTTAGATATTTTAATACTTAACGTACATATTAATTTACCGAAAAAAAACCAAACATAAGGACTTTTGTACTTCATTGTACTTCAAATTTAAATGTAACGTACAACAAATATTGTAATTTTAAATATTATCATCAGTTTACATACTTTAATCCTAAAAATAAAAATTGAAAATTTAAGATTTTATCTGTGATCCATTTGGACGATTTCTATAACTTTTATTCCAACTTATAACTAATTTGGATATTAGAATGTCTACAATTTTAAAATTAAGTGTATTAAAATTCTTTATAAAGTAATTTAGATTAGAGATTGGATAATAAAACAATTTAAGAGTCAAAAAAGTTAACAATATTTAATTGATGTATTTTCATGTATTTTATTAGTAAAAAATTAGATAGAGTTTATTACTTAAATATAAACCCAGACAAGTCAATGAACATAATAGTACAAAACAGTTTTAATAAATAAACTATTAAAATATAAAATATGCGCGTAGCTGTGCTTCAATTATATGTGGTCTATCGTATACTCCCTAAATTTGTTAATGTGCAAGTAATGATTATAAATTTTTAATTTCAAACAAAAATAAACTGAAATATATGTTACTATGATAATTTAGCTATTATGTTAAATCTAAAACATATTTATTATTATATGCATTTAATTTCAAAATTTTCCCAAAGTAAACATAAATAAGTTCTAAAATGTTTAAATCTATGTTAGAATGCATATGTGATTAATTTAATTTGTACTTTATAAAATAGTTGAAATTTAATTATGTTATATATACTTTATTGTAATAGTTTAATTACGTATGAATGTATATACAAGCATTATAAATTTGTTTGTTTTAAAAATAACTTCAAACTGAATACATATTTAGTTAACAAAGTAAAATAAGAACAAATTTATAATATACACATAAACATTAAAACAATAAACATCTACATTTTCAATAACGAAGATGTTAAAATATTTTCTCAGAAAGCAATAGTAGAAAAGATATATGTAAGGAAAAACATGAAGTTTACTATTACATTTTTCCCATAGATTGGAAAAAGAACAATTTGAACATTTTGCCATTCCCAAATTTCAGGCAGACACACGCATAAGAGAAAACGAGGCCGCCCACCTGGGTCGCGTAACAAACCAAAAGGTGTGTTCTTAGCCTCAGACTTATCCAACTGAGTTTTAAATTGATCATTTAATAGTAATAAAGTTATATCTATTCACATCTCTTATGATTAATGATCCGCCAACATTCAAGCCAAAGTTCTATGACTCTAAGTTTAATGGTTTGCATTACCTTATTGATATAATTACTTATGCATAACACAAGCTGAGTCTCAAGTTTTATCGTATAGGTGGTTGCGAGAAATGCGATTACTACGGTATGTAACCATACCCGGATAGTTTTATTGCATGATGAAACAAAGCTACCATTCACTTTGCATCGGCGACAGTTCTCCATCAGATTGTGTTACACAATGACAATCAACAAAAGCCAGGGTCAAAGTTTGAAAGAATTTTTCTTATATCTACCTAATCCGGTCTTCGCCCATGGTCAACTATATGTGGCTCTCTCTCGCGTGACAAGCAAAGCAGGACTAAAAATCATTGAGGGCCATGATTTGCACCCTCAAAAAGTGAAAAACATAGTCTACAAAGAGATCTTCAACCGGTTTCCTTCCGATGAAAGTAACTAAAAAAATGAAAGGGTTATTTAGCTGAAATATCACAATTGTCTTCATAGTGCTCTAGCTGATAACACAAAATATTGGAAGCAAGAATGCTACCGTGATGATGGATATCTTCTCACCTCCAGGTACTTATACATATATTATGAAATAAATAAATATATTCCTATTAATAATAACTACTCACTAACTTATTTTAATTAATTTTCAGGCCCCAGTTCAATAAAATCCCACCCAATCTACATCCTCTACCTTGAGAGTACCATCTGCTTCCCCATCATTAATATTTTCCCGTTGTTTAAGACTTTATAAATTTGTTCTTCAAGATTATGAAGACTATCATCTACTTCTAAACATTATTTCACAAACGCTTCTATTTCATTATGCATCAAACATTACTTACTACCTGCTTTATTCAATACAAGTTTTTTGACTGAACATTTTTCGAAGTTATTAAAAGATATTATGTATAAAGCACCTACTAATATATATTAGCATCTCGGGTTCCCAACATTTTTCATCAACACTTATTCTAAAAGATACATAATGATATAACAAATATTTTTTCTCCTACAAAATAACCCGGGCGTAGCCCGGGAAAAGGATCTAGTCACTAATAAAGAACTAGGTCCAAGAATCATGGATAAACTCTATGTAGATTCTTCATTTAACATTCACTAGATTTTGATCTGCACAACCACACATGATTTATTTTTATTTTTATATACATAAATATTTATTTACATGATTAGTGATGTTAGTCATATATTTAAATATTTATAAAACTATTATAATTCACATGTTAATAACAATTGTTTCAATAGTTTCTTATTATATATTTATTTTTTTGGATTTGCATTTGATTATTAAATAAACTAATACATGCATAAAAACATGTTTGAAAATTATTTTATATTTAACTATATACTAAATTAGTAAAATTTTATTTTTATTTAGATGATATAGTATTGTGTATATAAATGTTTATATGCTAATTTTATACATGTATTATCTAATTACTAATGTTAAACTTTTCTGTCTGCATATTATTTTTTTAGCATTAATATTTCCTATTTATGAAAATAAAACAGACTAATTTATCCGTTCAATCCAATTTTACTATAATATTTTTTAATATAATACATTATGATTTTATAAAGATAGATAAAAAATTGATTTTTTGTTTTATAAAAGATAACTAAATATATGTATTAATGTATAATTATATTCTTCACTAATTCGAAATTAGTGAAATATTTACATAATTTAAGTTAAGATCTTGTTAAATCTATTTCAACAGATATTTTGTAATTTTGAATATATATATATATATATATATATATATATATACTTAAAATATAAAAAAAATATCAAAAGATATTATGATTAAAGTAGTTACAAATATTTTATTATTAGATTAATGAAATACATATAGTAAAAATTTCTAGTGATGGTCTATTTTTTAAAAAAAAGTCCCAGATGAATCAAAGTCATGACTTATGTTTTAATAGATAAGAAAATCCCGCTTACTATAAATTATCCCACAACTCGGAAGTCATTTTAATAATAGCTGTGAATCAAATATATATTATATAATTCCTTTATGTTTAGATTTTTTTTTTGTTGGTGCAGTTAGTTCATTTCTCTTGTTTTTGTGGTTAAAGACTTATGGGGTTATGAATTTTTTCAAAATACATACAAACTAGAAGAAAAAAACAGAAAGAGGGAAAACCAAACATCTGGAAAGAGTCAAGAGAGAGAGTAGGTCACATTATAAGTGCAGCCTTTGGTAATCCTCCAGAGCCCAACTTTCCTGGTTCATACCTTCCTTTCTTGTCCCTTTTCTCCATTTATTTTTGTAATTATTATGTTCATAAATATAGCGAAATATAAAGAATTATTCATGTTATAGAATCGACATGTATATCAATTGGTAACCAGTTATTTTTTTCTGTCTAATAAATCTCCCTAAGATGTATATATATATGCACTCTTGTCACTTGGTCTAACAAAGATCACCACATACATGCATGTATATTATTTGCTATATCCATTAGTCCAACACAAAGGAAGAAATATTCACTTAGATTATAGAAGATAAGAGAGTACTGCGACATAATGAATTGAGAGTGAAATAGAGGTGTGGTTTGTTTGCAAAAATAAAATAAAATAGAGAGGTATGGTACGAACAACCAGGGAATAGAAGAGCCATACAGAAGATGACACGTATGCAGATCAGGTTGATGATTAATGATGAAACAAATGGGATGTTTGAAAGATTGAAAGAAATCAAATATCTCAAGACTCATGTGGTTGTCTTTGATTCCACCGCTTAGTCACCACTAGATATGAATGATTATCAGTTTTAATCAGCTGAGTTGTTGACTATGTGGTCTCCAGACTTTACCCTTCTTGTTTGATTAAATCTCTTGCTAGTTGTTACAATTCTACGTTAGACTTTGTATTTGTTCAGCTCACTATCACACACTATAAACATTCAAATTAGACTTAAATTATATGTTGCTTAAAGTTTATTCCTTCGTCTAAACATGTTCAAGGCTGTCACAAATTGAATTTCTACCCGTAAGTTATTTGTACGTATGCGATACAAATTGTCTTTTCTAGACCGACTTTTCGTGATGAGTTTTTATAGAGTACCGAATACGTAATGGTGAAAATGGAAAAACCAAAATTTTGAAAAATATAACAACTTCGGAAAATCGAAAACGGACACGAAGTAGTTCAAGTCCCTCTCAATGTCCCTACTCACACATGCCACAATCACAGTAAATTGCATTTGCGTCTTCTTTACTCTTTAGCCTTTGTTTGGAGTCGTACGAGGCTTAAACCTTAACACGACAAATGTCGCAACTGCTTTGTGTTCACTTGTGTAAACACAACCTTAAGAAAAAACACAACCATAAGAAAAAATCTAGATTTGCTGAAAACAGATGGCTTCTCTTACGAATACACCCAAATGGTCACTGTTAATTACAGAGACAACGCATATAAATGAAAATGATGTATCTCTTATTCTCTTGTCTTCAAGTTCTGAGCATGAAATGTAAAAAATTTTGAAGAACAAAGCTGTGAAGAACACACGCTTGAGTCTTGATGAGCAAATGACTTGGTAGGTCTCTATGGCTCTCCTCCAAGCTCCACTCTCAGGTTGTCATACGGATACACTCGCGGTGTCTGCAGCAACAGTACAATAAGAGATGACTAAGAAATGGAAAACAAGTACCAGTGGTAAGAGAAAAACACGAGCAGAGGGATGATATGTAAGCAAACAACAACAGACATTCATCTCATGTATAGACAAAGCGCATAATCTTAGCCCTAGTGTGCTGTTCAACTTCTATAACTCGAAATACATCAAAACAACACTCATCATCATAGTATAGTTTTTGATGCAACGTCTATGATGCTTGACCAGTGGCCAGTAAAGGAAATAACTCATAGTATTAGCTGCTGATACACCTCTAGTTAGAGTTTAAGCATGTATTGACTATTAAGTTCCCAAGAACATTTAGGGTGTTTCTTTCCAGTGTTCCTAATAACTATGTACAAGCTTCAAGTGTACAAGCTCAATCAATCAATCAAGGATGATGAAAACAATGCGCATATCGAACGCTTTGTTCAGTTGCGATAGCAAATAGCAAGAATATATGTTCATAAACAGGCAAAATACAAAAGCAGACAAATTGAAATATTGCGCCATTCAGCAGATGAATAAAAATGAACATCGAGAAAATTAGGTTATCTAATAAGTATCTATGGTGAACTCTTCAGTTTTATTTCGCATTTTGTTGACAGCTATCTAGAGATGTCGGAATAATAAGCCCATGCCAAGTATACGGTTCATATTAGAGACTAGCGAAAATGACAATGTGGTTGATTATCTGAATCCAGCGTAGATTCACAATAAAGCAGAGGGTTAAGATACTGTAGAAACTAAAAAACGACTCTTTGCTGCGCATTTTTGCTCAACTTCAAAATTACAGTAACGACACGTCTAAGCAAACTAATTCATAGAGTTTAACTGCTGAGACACCTCTAGCTAGAGGTTTAAGCATGAACTAAGTTTAAGAACTAATTCATGTTTCCTTACAAGCGTATGAGCTTAAGCAAGTAGTAAGTATAACTATGTATCGGTTCAGTCAGTTAAGAAAGGATAATGAAAACAAGTAGATAAAAAAATCCATCTCTTCTAGTACTTTGGTAAGAAACAAGAGCAAACAGCAAAACTTGATGTTTAATAAAAAGGCAAAATGCAAAATCTAAAAGTTAAAATATTGCGTCATTCAGAAGATGCAGAGGAGAAACAACTACACCATTCTAAGCATTTACAGTAAACCCTAAGTTTTCTTTTCACATTTTCTTGATGGCCATCTAAAGATTCCAGCAAAAAGAACGTTTTATCTCAGACATAAGCCTATGCCAAGCATATGTTTCATATCAGGTACAGTAAAATCAACTATGTAGTTGAAGAATCGAACTCAGAGCACACTCACACAATACATCAGAGGCTTAAGCTTATGTAGCAGAACTAACAAGCATTTTCTTGTAATGCGAATGGCAATACATAATGAGAGAATTTTGACTTACAAAAGGAACCTTTGAAGCTTTATCATTTACCACAGCGAGTAAACCAAGAGTCGCAAAGAACCCTAAACCACCACACAACCATCCCAATGCTTCATACTGTTTCACTCATCCCACAAAAACAAATAATCAAAACACTAAAACAATCGATTTTAAAAACAATTCGAAACCCTAAACTAACCTTCCCGACGGTATCAGCAATCCGATCAATGCAAGGCTCTGGGAAAGCAGTCCCGTTGTCCCACATCAGCTCGTCGTTAACCGATAGCTGAGACGCAAAATCAAATCGGATTTTAGGAGAAGGTTAAGAAGTAATTACAGAGAGATTTGACTCACCGGCTTATCGGGGACGATGTGTTTGCCGACGGGGAGACCCATGCCGGCGCGTTGGCGGAGAGATGAGGCGTTGGATCGTGCAACGACGCCGTTTCCGCCCATGATTCGTGACGCCACACCGGTTAATCTTCCTGCCATATTTCGTTTTTTTTTTCCGATGCTTTTCTTTTTCGTTTCAGAGTTTTCTCTTCCTCGCTCAGGAGATTCCAAATCAATCGATTTGAGATAGACGACAATAGTACTGATCAAAATCTCTAAAACGATGTCGTTTAGAGGTCAACCTTTTAGTTTTTTTTTTTTTTTTTTAAGTCTCTGACTCAACTAAAAGGTTGCTGGAGTCAACCTTTTAGTTGAGTCAGAGACTTTGGAATATTGATAATTTCTTGCAGAACTTTGGATAAGCCTGATGATCCCCTGCATTTTTTATGACGAGTAGCTTTTTATTTATTTATTTGTTAATTTACCATATGACTTTTTTTTTTTGAAACAGCATTTTACCATATGAGTTGTTTCGCAATTACATAAATCTGGAAGCTTTTAATTGCATCTCCAGCTTTGCTTTGTTGGTTATCACACTCACATTGGACTCAAACTTGTGATTCTTCCAAGTCTGTGAAGAGCTTTGCCACTGAATATCTGAACTTCTGTTACTTCTCTGTGTTCTACTTTCACTACGGATCTAATCCCTGGCTTCTTTTGCAAGATAACTTGATCCACTATTTAGCAATTGGTCAATGAAACTGAGAGGCTATGCATATACTCTCATTGGCTGCAACGATGGTATGGTAACATGTTAAGTTTTCATCAAAATTGTTACTAGTAACTTTCTTATGGAGATTTTTCTGATTGTACATTTACTAGGTCTGCAGAATTGACTTGCTCTGCCTGTAGAGCATATGACTTTTCAGATTGGACGTGAGGATTGAGGAATATAGTGGTTTGAGTTTTCACAAATAAGATTGGCTTGAAAAATCAATAGTGTGAGAGACTAAACTGCACTTACTGTAGTTGTAAACTATGTTCGTGAAGAAGGTGATTTTGGTCTGTAATTTGATTCTCAGTTTAACGTGGAAGTAACACATATAACATACCAATCAAGTCATTTGATGGAATCAGTTTATATGGTTTCAATCAGGTTAAGGGGAAAACTTAAACATTATGTAACAACTGAAACCAAATCTCCAGATACCATAGCAAACACCAAAAGCAGGACTCACACCTCACAATTGTCTCAACTTAAACTAGTAGTCAAACAAAGGTTCTCGTTCTCCCAACATAAAAAAAGATAGATATGTGATACGAAACTTATTAGCAGCCAAACAAAGGTTCTTACGGAAATAAAACGATAGAGATAAACGTAGTAGTAGAGATCACATGATTACTAGCTGCTGCGAGGTGCAATGACAATCTTGAGAACACCAAACTCTGCCTCGTACGCTATCTTTTGAGTCAAAATCGAAGGCAGAGGGTCAGACGAGGAAGAACGACTGTTGACGCATCCCAAGTAAACACGGCCACTCTCATCATGCTCATACACATTCTTCACCTCTGCGTAGAACTTCACTGTGTGCTCATTAGCAAACACTTCAACATCCTCACCACAAACTCCAGGTATATCCACTGCAAAGTAGACACCATCACCAGGTAGGGCTGCTCCAACAAAGGCTCTCTTACGACCTTTCACCACAAAAGGATGATCCTCCAAGTGTCTCCCAGTTTGACCTGTCACAAACAAAAACAGAGCGTTTAATTTAAAACAACGTTGCATAAAGTATTACATAGTGGTAATAAGAGAGAGGAAAGGGATCGAACATGCGTTAGGAGGGACAGTGTTGGTACACTTCTTGTCATGATCCTTGACTTTGACCCTTGAGACAATCAACCTCAAGACTCCATCTTTCATCTTGGCATCCACGTCAGTGATCTCACAGCAGTCACATCCCAAACCGGCGGATCCAGAGTACTCACGTACACCGTCCTTCGTGTTACCGTCGTCGGGAGTTTCGCCGGAGAAAAACACAAGCTTTTTCCTCACGGCGTCGATTCTGTGGCGAACACCGTTGTCTGGAACGCCTGGCAAGTCAACGCGGACGTAGAGGTTGTTGTTGTTCAGAACCTTGACGTTATGGAAACCCTTAGGACCAGCTTTCTGGAACTGGTTGTTGGTCGCGTAAATACCCTCTGTGTTACAAAAGGAAAACGTGTAGATATACTTAGCTCGCAAGTAAAGTAAACAGAAGAAGCAAAGTAGATAGTCCTAAGCAAAGATTAAGGAAAGACTAAAGAACTAACTCATACTCTGTAGCTAAAGAAGGTTATAAAGTCTTAACACCAAGTTCATGAATGTTAACAATGTTTCAGTAAAGAAGAAAACGATTATACAAGGAAACCTAAGAAGAACAAGTTACAGTGAGAAAAATAGAGGAGGAAGAAGGAGACCTCTGGTGGTTGGAATTCCCGTCAAGTTAAGGCATTCTCTCATCGCCATCTCTCTCTTTTCTCTCACTATCTTTTCTCTCTCTCTCTCTTGGTGGAGTAAAAATGGTATGAAGATAGAAACGAAGCAGCTAGAGGTAATAACATTGATCGTTCTGTGACGTGGCACTACAGCTGGCTTCTTTTTTCACAACGGGTAAAAACTCGTGTTGTCTCCGAACAAGTTAAAAATCCAAAACTTTTGACCGGTCGCAGCTATCTTGACGGTAAAAGTAAACTATTATTACCTCAGTAAAGTTTTAAAAAAATCCAAACATTTGACCGGTCGTAATAAGTAATGTCTTTTTATATATTCAACCTCCTCCATCCATTTCATCTCTCACCGTTAAAAAACATTGCTTTTCTTACCGTGATAAAGAACCCCAGAGTACGATGACGTCAGCGCGGTACTACGAAATCAAAAAATATGATGAGCTGTCCATCTATAGCTCTCCTTCAATATGCTTTTTAAATGCGACAAAATAGGGTAATTAGGGCAACCTCGTCTCTCACTTTATTTCAAACTTCTTTTACAGAAGATCATTAATGCATGCAAGAAGATCATTAACTTCTTTTACTTTTTCATGGTTTTCAACCTACTGTTATTTAAGGTTTTTCGTTTGTTTGTTTGATTTTGTCATTTTGAAAACAAATTGAAGTTTGTTACTTTATAAAACATTCCATAAATATCTTGATATGCAGATTCAAAGAAACGTTTTGACTTGACATTCATGCGATGATATCAAAAGCACGATCAACCATTAAACATAATTAAGATAAACATAAAGCAGCTGATTCAACAAAAGTTCACACTTTCTTAAAAACTAGACAAGAAAGACCACAGAAATTAACCCTAGACAGTAGACATCCCAAGAGAAACGACAGACACGAATAAAGACACAAATACGTACGGACACTCACTCTCCTCATCACAACCAAGATTGACCAAACAAAAGCTCACGCATTATTTAGACACGATTAGACCATAAAAAAAAAACCTAGACAGTAGACGACATCCCAAAGAGTTACCACAGACAGTACGGACTCTCGATCATCAAACGACGTCGTCTCTGGTAATCTTGCAGTTAAGCATCTTATTAATGACGGTACTCTTGACGATTACGCCGGGGACCTTAGGGAGGGTGATCCACAGCACACCATCGCGGATCTTAGCCTTTGCATCGGCGATTTTGTACGCCACTGGGCTGAACACCATCGTGCCTCCGTATTTGCGACCGTCGTGGTCGTACTGTGGCATGACTGGTTCGTCGGCGAAGAAATGAACGTTGTCACCATCGATCCAGAAGGCGAGGTCAGAGGCGGGACAGCCAGGCAAGTCGACCCTGTATATCACGCTGTCTTCCGTCTCTAACGTCTCATACACTGCTTCGCTACCACTTTTCTGGAAACGGTTCCTCACTACACACACACACGAGAGATTAGTCACTGTACGTAGAGATAGAGTCTTAGAAACATTAAAAAGATTTGAACTTTTGTAAGAAAAGAAAATGAGTAATGAAGAAGGAAGAAGACGTACGGATAGGTGGAGAGTTCCTCGGCCCACTGCTGCCGGAGCTTCCCGGGGTCTTTTTCGTGCTGGAGCTTCCTGCTTTGCTCATTCTTGAAACGACGCTGTTTTTGCTGTTTTGAGATTGTTGATTAATGTGTGTGAAACGAGAGTGAGTGCCACTTGCTATTTATAACGGAGCGGATAAATGATTAATGTAATGGGGTTACTTTAGGGTTTGAAAAATTTAGTCGGTTTTTAAATGGGCCTAGGATGAGCCTTCCAAGGATATAACCGAAGTAAACCGGTTATGTTATTTTAACTAATGGGATTGTAATCCCCATCTTGTCACATATAGTGGATGTGATGTAGTATATAATTATTAGTTTCCTTATTATGTGTGTGTTAAAGACATACAGTATTTAAAGAATCTGTCATCTTTTGCGTCTAAGTAGATGGGACTTCTTTGCATTAGATGTTCAATCGTTTCCTCGGTCTACCAGAAGCTTGACCCAAATGCAAACTCGACAAATGCAATGACTTACACTAAGACGTTAAATTAGGTAGTATAGACTTTGTTCATACTTCATAGTATAGAGCTTTGCCACTGAATATCTGAACTTCTGTTACTTCTCTGTGTTCTACTTTCACTACGGATCAAAATGAATCTAATCCCCTGGCTTCTTTTGCAAGATAACTTAATCCACTATTTAGCACTTTGTCAATGAAACTGAGAGGCTAAGCATATTCATGGTCTGTGCTCTCATTGGCTGCAACGATGGCATGGTACCATGTTAAGTTCATCAAAATTGTTCACTAGTAACTTTCTTATGGAGATTTTTCTGATTGTACATTTACCAGGTCTCCAGAATGGACTTGCTTTGGGCCTTTGGCTTTAGTAAGTAATGATGTTCAAATACTATAGAACATGTAGAGCATTTGACTTGTCATATTATTGGACGTGGGGATTGAGGAATATAGTGGTTTAAGTTTTCACATATAAAATTGGCTTGAAAAATCAATAGTGTGAGGGACTAATGTTCGTGAAGGTGATTTGGTCCGTAATTTGATTCTCAGTTTAAAGTGGAAGTAATACATATAAACAAACCAATCAAGTAAATATCTTGTTACCGCGGTAAAGTTTTTAAAAATCCAAACATTTGACCGGTCGTAGGTCATGTCTTTTTATATTTTCAACCTCCTCCATCCATTTCATCTCTCACCGTTAAAAAAAAACATTGCTCTCACCATTTCATCTCTCACAGTTAAAAAAAAACATTACCGTGATAAAAAAACGCTAGAGTACGATGACGTCAGCGCAGTACTACGAAATCAAACTATGATGAGCTGTCCATCCATTACTGCCTATAGCTTTCCTTCAATATGCTTTTTAAATGCGACAAAATAGGTTAATTAGGGCAACCTCGTCTCTCTCTTTATTTCAAACTTCTTTTACAGAAGATCATTAATGCATGCAAGGAGTCGCTGACGTCACTTATTCTCTTTAACACAGTGAGCTGTTAAACTTTTTTCCTGTTTTGCTCCCTCCTTATCTACTTTTGACATACGACAAACAAAAAGTTAACAATGCAATGCAACGTCTCCTTTACTTGACTCAACTTCTCACCGTTATTTTCAGTTTTACTTTTTAATGGTTTTCCACCTACTATCGTTTAAGATTTTTTCGTTTGTTTGTTTGTTTGAATTTGACAACATTTTAAAGTTTGTTACTTTATAAAACATCCCATAAATATCTCGATATGTAGATTCAAAGAAACGTTTTGACTGACCTTCATCAGATGATATACGAAGAAGAAATCAAAAAGCACTTCACCATTTAAACATAATTAAGATAAACATAAACCAACAGATTCAACAAAACGTCCACACTTTTATTAAAAACCAGACAAGAAAGACCACACAAACCCTAGACAGTAGACATCCTCCAAAGAGAAACGATATACCACGGATAAAGACACAAAGACGTACGGACACTCTCATCATCACAACCAAGATTGATCAAACAAAAGCTCACGCATTATTTAGACACGCTTAGACCATAAAAAACCCTAGATAGTAGACGACGGATAAAAGACAAAAGACGTACGTACGGACGGACTCTCGATCATCAAACGACGTCGTCTCTTGTTATCTTGCAGTTGAGCATCTTCTCAATGACGGTGAGCTTGATGTTAACACCGGGGACTTTTGGGACGGTGATCCAGAGAACGCCATCGCGGAGCTTAGCCTTAGCCTCGCTGACGTTGTACGCCACTGGGTTGAACACCATGGTACCTCCGTATTGGCGACCGTCGTGTTCGTACAGGGGCATGGCTGGTTCGTCGGCGAAGAAATGGGCGTTGTTTCCGTCGATCCAGAAGGCGAGGTCAGAGGCGGGACAGCCAGGCAAGTCAACCCTGTAGATCACGCTGTCTTTTGTCTCTTTCACTTCGTACACTTCTTGGCTGCCACTTTTCTGGAAACGGTTCCTCGCTACAAAACAAACACAACAACAAAAAAGTGTACACACACGACAGATTAGTCACTCAACGTAGAGAAAAGCTAACGAAAACGTAAAAAGATTTTAATTTTTGTAAGAAATAAAATGTGTAATGAAGAAAGAAGGAAGACGTACGGATAGGTGGAGAGTTTCTCGGCCCACCGCTGCCGGAGCTTCCCGGGGTCTTTTTCGTGCTGGAGCTTCCTGATTTGCTCATTCTTGAAACGACGTTGTTTTTGCTGTTTTGGGATTGTTGATTGTGTGTGTGAAACGTGAGTGAGTGCCACTTGCTATTTATAACGGAGTGGATAATGAATGATTAATGAGGTTAGTTTAGGGTTTTGAAAAATAAAGGCGTCGAGTAAATTTAGTCGGTTATTAAATGGGCCTAGGATGAACCTTTGAAGTGACTTTAAAATATGCTGAGAATGTAACCGAAGTTAACCGGTCTTGTTATGTTATTTTAACTAATGGGATTGTAATCCCCATCTTGTCACATTTAGTAGTTGTGATGTAGTATAGCTAGTCTCATCATCTTTATTATGTGTGTGTTAAAAGACATCTTTAGAGATAAAATCTGTAATCTTTTGCGTCTAAGTGGTGGGACTTATACTTTGCATTAGATGTTCATCATTTCCTCGGTCTACCAGAAGCTTGACCCAAATGCAATGACTTACACTAAGATCTTCTTAGGTGGTAGCCTTAGTTCATACTTCATAGTATAACATCTTTTGACAGACGTAGTTTAGTTTCCTAGAGAGGACTGTAATGATTGTAAGGCATGTGATTAAATAAATACAATGGCTTGAATATCATGAGTATGTGGAAGTGATGCACTGATACGCGAACAAAGATAACAATTTTCAGTATTAGCATAGGTGGTTTAATTTGATGGATCCAGCTTATGGTATAACTTGGTTTCAATCAGCTTAAGGGAACACGTCTAGATTGTGAAAACGAGTGACATAATTAAACCACTAAGTTCCATAGCAAACACAAAAGCAAAACCAACACATAACAGTCTCAACTTAATATTTAAAAACAAACAAGACTAGTAGCAAGTCCAAGTACTCTTAAAACAAAAGGGATATAGATATATGAAACCATAACGCAGTGGGGATAGAAATGATTACTCCTTGTTACCACCTGTGTTGGGACGAGGGGTAAGGAGAACCTTGAGAACACCAAAGTTAACAGCACCAGTGATGGCATGACTCGAAAGCCAAGGTGCAGAGTTAGGCGACCAAGAAGTGTCAATGCTTCCAATGTAAAGACGTCCACTTTCATCGTGCTCGAACACATTCTTGACCTCAGCAGTGAATATAATCTCACTATCGTTAGCAAGCAATTCCACGTCACCATCACCAACACCAGGCACATCCACAGCAAAGAAAAGACCACCATCAGCTGTTGGATCTCCAACGAACGCTCTCTTACGTCCTTTCACAATAAACGGATGCTCCTCCACGCGTCCTCCAGATTTACCTATACCGACAAAACATCTTCAGTAAACTGATAATATGCATAGATAATAATATTGTAACTGAATGGATTCGAACCTGTGAAAGGAGGGACAGTGTGTGTACACTTGGTCTCATGATCCTTGACTTTGACCCTTGACACAATCATCCTCAAGACTCCATTTTTCATCTTGGCATCTACGCTGGTGATCTCGCAGCAGTCACATCCCAAACCGGCGGATCCAGAGTACTCACGCACGCCCTGCTTCTCGTATCCGTCGTTGAAAGTCACCGCGGAGAATAGCACCACCTTCTGCCTCACGGCGTCGACTCTGTGGTGGACACCGTCGTCTGGAACTCCCGGCAAGTCGACACGGACGTAGAGTTTGTCGTTTTCCAAAACCTTGACTTCGATGAAACCCTTTGGACCTCGTTTCTGGAACTGATTGTTCGTCGCGTAAAACCCATCTGTTCCAACAAATAAAAACGTAAGAAGAGCGTTAATGAACAGACAGAACCGAAGAAGAAAAAAAAACATGTCTTTAGAATTTAGATCATCAGAGAAACATATATAATATATTAATGGAAAAAATCTATAAAAAGAAACAAACGGAGGAAAGAAACAGACCCTTATCGGTGGGAAGCGTCGACATGTCAATGCATTTAACCATCTCTCTCTCTTCTTTCTCTGTATTTTCTCTCTCTCGTTTGCTTAACAATGGAGTTTTTGGTTTTGTTGTCTATTACTAATATGAAAAGAAGAAGGAGGTACGATCTTGTACACGTGGCACTCTATAGCTGGCTTCTTTTAAACTCCATTTACACTCTTTTTGCCTCCTCTCGTCGCGACGTGGAGAGTAATAAAAACAATCTGACTGGTCGTTTTACGTCGCTCTGTTTACATTTACTGTTTTTTTTTACCGTGAAAACAATACTATGAGCTGTCCATACCAGTCACATACGAGTCCCCAAGAAACACGTATAAACTGTGATATCTACTTTATCTTCGACTTTTTTACAGAGGAAGCATTGAATCCGCCGCTGACGTCAGCGATCATTTACTGATTCATCCTCGAAACGACGCTGTTTGGAAGCGGAGTGCGAGTATGAAAAGAGAGCGAGTAATTTTACGCGCTCATGTGTCGCATACTATCTATCGGAAGGGCCCAACTTAAGCTAGAAAGGGCCTGTTGTTTGGCCCAATTAGTTTAGTATCAAAACGAAACATAAAATTACAATCGGACACATAAAGAAAAAGCCCAAGATATTAAAACTGTGTTAATCTGGGGGAATGTTTTTTAAGTTGGACCAAACTGAACCGAAAAGAAATCATAGATCAATACGGTTAGGCCGGATTTAACCTTATCCGACTGAGTTAAAATAAAGAATCAAAATTAGAACTAAATATACCTATTATTCGCGTTCTGCAAATTTTATACAAACTTACTTGAATTTAATTATTAAGCTTTACAATAATTGAATCATGAAACAGACATTAAATACATACCAAATTAAAAAAAAAAAATTAATTCTTAACATCAAAGATTTATACTTGTAAATTGTAAAAATTAAAAGAAAATAATATAATAAGAAATGTGAAAGTATATATATATCTTCGATTCACGATTTAATGGTGCAGAGGTTTTATTGATGAAAAGAGATGACTGCAGTTTCTAAATCGTGATCAAGTAGGTACAACATTGATTCCTTTCTATTATCCATTACACATTGGCGTGACGTAATATTATTGGTTCTCGCTGAAAATGAGTTTAGTCATCATCATATGAAAAGTCAGTCTTACCAAGAAATTCGTATCTTTGCATTTTGAACATCCTTTGATAGGTCATTGCGTGTTTTTTTGGTAGACTTGCCATTTTGCTGTAGTTATGATTATTTGATTCATACAAGTAGTAACTAATGTTTTGGTACATAAACATGAACAGAGAGTAGCAATCTCAAGCAAAACATAAATATAACGCTAAGCTTTTGATATAACAAAAAAAAAAAAAAAAAAACAGGATAAGAAATGAGAAAAGCTAATTAAGCATTGTTCTGGTTTGTTGAAGGAGCAGACTCTAAGATGTTCTGTGAGAAGATAGAAGTCCGGCAAGTAGGACAGGAGGAGTGTGAAGAGAGCCACTTATGGATGCACTTGACATGAAACCCATGATGACATTTTTCCAGCACGTGGATACTCTCACCTGGTTCGAATTCAGACAAGCAAATAGCACACTCTGCTTCAGCTCCCGCAAGCTCAAGGTCTGAGGAGTAGACAAGAGTAGGAGTTGGTACGGTGGATGAAACATCCACTTCAGGTTCAGGCTTGTGTTCGTTGTCATCAGTCTGGAGATTTGAGCGGAGAAAGCAACGTATAGCAGCGCAGAGAGAGAGACCACATATGAGAGCAGAGACGAAAAGGATGAGGAGAACAGATGCGTTTGCTTGGAACTCACTAGAGTTTGAGTAAGGCTTCCATCTGCAAGTATGGGAGTTACATTCTGTAGAAGCAGAGGAGAATGGTGAAGAAGCTGTAGCTACTTCTTCTAATAGCAAACGCATCTTTAATTGTGATTTGCTTTGAGAGTGTCTTGTGGGTTTAGTAAACCTTATAGAAAGAGTGTTGTGGGGACAATGGGTGAGGGTTCCAGTGAAGTCTTGAAGCTCTCAGGATTAGGATGTTTCGTCTGTATTTTGAGGACTGTAACACTCGCCTTCTCTCTCTTTTGGTCCACTTCACATAAATGGATATTATTGTTGATAGGTGATGGGATTGCTCTTTGTCCTTCTTGGCTTATCATCATCCACATGTTTGCCACATGTTGCCCTCACACTACGTTGCCTACATTCTAGGCAAATACCTTCCTCTCTCTCTCTCTTTATTTTAACTCTTATTCATTCATGTTTGAATATGTCAATATCTCTAAAGATTTAACAGAGAAGAAAGACAAGAACTCATAACACACTTCATTGTTTCTTTGTCTCTTTATATATAATTCTGTTTACATCTTCTTAAGATTAAAGAAACAAAACCCCAAATTAGAAAAACCAGTGTGAAAAGATAAAAACTATAGTAACAATTAAAATAGTAAAAAGGGTGGATAAAACTTTTTTTAAACAAATATTTTGAACACTTTTTTTCCCTCTTCTAAAAACTCTCCTGAAAATAGCCAAATCATTATCTGATCTCCATAGAATGTAATTCTCACTTCTCTAAGCTGCAATTCCTGTAACAACACCATTTTCCACATCAGATTTGCACAAGAACACAGATGTTCATGTTCTTAGATGAAAAATGTGATCATAATTCATACCTCCGTTTGGTTGCCTGTTGATGTATCCAGCTGGTCCTCTAGACATGAAGTCAAATGCTCCCCTTCCCATTCTTTCATCCGCCTTTGCTGGCAGAGAAAGCCACGCCGAGTCACTATACAAAGAGTCTGCCTCCAAGCTATTTAAGCCGTTGCTGTAACCACCAACATGAACTCCTCTCATTGCTTCTAATCCTACGCCTCCTCCTTCACTGCGATAACTATTACGTGCACGTGCAGCCCCTCCCCAGTTGTCTCCAATGCTGCCTAGTGAAGACGTTCCAGAGTTTCCACTGAAGCTGCTTCTAGATATTGGAGAGTTTGACATGTAACCTAGACCACCACCATTTCCCCATACATGATTCTTTGTTGCTGTGTTTAGCACAGAACCTCCTGTCTCAATCTGGCTACTGTACCTGTTAAGGCTCGGAGTATATCCTGGACTAAAGGGACGTCCAAAGCCAGCACTGGAACCAGATCCATAGTTCTGAATCTGCTCCTGCTCGAAATTCAGATCAATCCCAAATCCATGTCCAAACGGTGAGAATCCTCCCCTGTTACCTACTCCTGGACTGTACCTAACTTCAGGTTTGACTCCAAAACCGGACACTGGACTCGAGCTGAATCCGTGTGTGTACTCGTTCATCATCAACGCACTGATTCTACCACTGCCAATTCCAAAGCCATTAACATTCATTTGGTTCCGGATTGGGTCCTTGGGAACAGCCAGTTTGACTTCCACCATCTTCCCATTGAGCTCATGGAATGCCCTCTGCAAGACTCTGTCTACAGCGTCCTCTGATTCATAAGAGATGAACCCAAAGCCTCTCGGTCGCTGTGTTCTGTGGTCATACATCACCACAACATCAGTGATCACCCCAAACTGAGCAAAGTAGTTCTTGAATTCAGCCTCTGTAACCGATGAAGCCAAACCTCCCACAAAGATCTTTTTACTGTTTGCTGGACCAGGTGGTGATCCCTGTAGACTGCTGTTACTCTTGTGATCATCTCTTGGAACTGCCTTCTTCGCCTCAACCTGTGACCATGACGAAACAATATGAATAAAAAGAATAGCTTTGCTTCGAGGAGCAGCAACTTCTAATACAAGATTGATATTGAAGCAATGTAGTGTATAGGTTTCAAAGAGGGACTTGACTTACAAGTTTACCATCAATGACGTGTCTGAGAAGCAGGACTCTCTCAGCAACATTGGGATCAGCAAAGACAAGGAAACCAAAGCCACGAGCACGACCAGTGGCTCGATCCTTCATGATGACAGCCTCTAAAACCTCACCGAAACTCTGAAAATACTCGCGGAGACAATCTTCTGTTGTCTCCCAAGAGATCCCACCGATGAATAGCTTACAAGATTCCATATCCATTCTGCTTAAAACAAGGGTTTGGTACTAAGTATCCACTTAACACCTCTCGATCTAACTGAAAACATAATCTAAATTCAAATAACGCTGATGAAGAGCAAACCTTTGTGGAAAGCTAATAGGATGTAACTCGTTGAAAACTAACAGCTGGGTGTTGATCAGATTCGTTGAACCGATCGACCCACGATCCTTGATTCCTGCAAGCAACACACAGACAAAAGTGATGATCAAAAAAAGGTGGAAGCTTGGAAGAAAATATTAAAAACCCATGAAGGATAAGAAGCTTTAGATTACCGAAAAGTTAAGAAAAACGGAGAAGAGAGGAGAAAAAGACGAGGTTGAAATCTAAAGGATGAAGCTTTTAATAAGAGCGCGAGAGGCCCTCTCTTTCTCCTCTCTTCTTTTTTTTTTTTGATTTACGTCCGATAATAAAAAAGAGATTTACTGTTTTAGTTTTTGAAATGGGTAAAGAAGAGGAAGAAAAATGGAGGATGGAGTTTTGTGCAGAGCAGATGAGAAGTGGAAAAATGAAAGAGAAGCTCCTTCTTACGTTTTTTCTTTGTTTTTATAATGTTTTTGCTATCCTCGCTTCTTCTCTTTTAAAGAGACGATGGCACTTTCGTCTTTTTCTTTCTTCTATCTTGTAATAATAATTAAATTAATTGATATACTAATTAATAATAATTTTTATTTGTAGTACCAACGTCTGCAACCTTTTTGCCTATAAGTTAAAAATGTCTAGCCTTTGTGTTTTCACAAATTTTGAATTTTAAATCTATAAAATGGTTGACAAAAAAAAAATCTATAAAATGACATTAAATCATCATAAAATTAACCAGGGTTAGTTACGGGTTTATCCTGATTTGTTCCTACTACTAGACTATTTCTTTCTAACTCATATGTGGATTCTTCTTTTGGTACCATTTATTTTGAAAGGTCAATTTTCATTTTTGATAACACATCAGCAGATTTATTTTTCATCGAATAAAGTGCAAGGCATGGTCCGTCAATAAGCTAACTACGAAAAAAGATGCAACATGTGATTCTTATGGACAATAATTTGATTTGCAACCAGTTGATGGAGATTACTATAATTTTGAAGATGGCATGAAAGGTTTTTTATTAAAATCTTTTTTTGGGAATCAAAGTGGGCAGGAACATGGGGGAATGGTTGATGACGAAAAAGATTGGCATCCCACAAATTATAAGCTTCATTTATTGATTTTAAATGATATGTTTATTTGGTAATGCATGATATTAAAAATAATGCAATCACCAAGTGGAAGATATGTTTCGAGTACAGAAGGCATCACAAATAATAATTACCAACTTTCATACGCTTACTTTTTCATTCATCTTTATTCATTTAAATACTAATCTCAGGTCCAATTATCATTTAGTTTTTTTTTAAATACTATCGTTTACTCAATAGGAATTTATATATTATCTATGTTTTTGTGTTCTTTCTTGGTGATGTAAGTTTTGTACAGGTCAAATATCCACCACCGTTCATGCATCAAATAGATCATCACATGTTTTTTTAAAACATACTGTAGCTTTTACAGCTAATTTTTTTATTCTCCCGTCCAACAATTTTATAATTCGTATAACCCTACTATTTATCCGGATTAGAGCTTATTTGATTTCAGTAAAGAAGGGACACCAAATGTTCAAATCTAAATATCTAACTGTGTTGATATCCTCTAAAAATTTTCTTTCAAAACAAAGATATCCTCTAAAAACCATAGTACTTACTAATGATCTATTATATAAAAGGTTTACTCTATGAGTACCCTACATTCGTAGATTAGGCAGCCTTACTAAATCGGAATTCAAAAATTTTATAAAAAAAAAAAATATGATAAGAAATTCTTAACTGAGCAAGATGAAGACTATAATGGGCCTACAATCTACCTTCGGTAAAGAGTGAAAAACTTTATTAGTAAAAGTTAAGTTATGCTTCCTAATAAAACTAATGGGCTCATATTATAAAATCACAAGCCCAGAAAGGTTATAAAATCTCTCCCCTTGCTTCTTCTCTATTAGTCTACTCTCATTTCTCCCGCTTCAGAGGAATAAAAAACCTCGAAATAGAAATTCACGCTTACAGACTCGCAGGTATGGTTTCTATGAAAAATCAGAGCTCTTAGATCAAATATTCTCCATTGAGCATCAATCTGTGCGTATATATTTGAAATTTGATGTCTCACAATTGTCTTTAGTCTCAATTTGTATAAACACGATTTTGATTTCCTTCCATATCAATTTGTTCCCTAAGCCATTTGTAAATCTGTGAGAAATTTGGATTACTTGTTGTTCTGATATTGCTACCTACATTGTCTCTAAATCTCTCCCCCAAACAGTCCTGACTTGTCTTTCATTATTTTGTTAATCAAACTCTAGAGATCCGTTTTTGTATTTGTTTGGGTCAGTGCTGTTACATTTCATTTCATATATATTAAAATGTGACTGCATTGCAACTTGTATCAATATCATGCGAACCTTTACACATATGATGCAAACACCATTCTTAATTACATTGTGGGAAACATGAAAAAAACAATGTAGAGAGACTCTGACTCGGTTCTGTGACTGAAGCGCCATCTAAAACAAGAACTGTACTGTTTAATGTTTAAATCTTTAGTTGAAAATCTTGACACCACGCAGCTTGTTATGATCTTGAACTTTGACTACCCTGTAACCTGATCTTCCCTGAGGTGTAGACACGGAAGCCGTTGTTCGAGGAAACAAGTTTGATACGTTTGTGTGCATTGGTCGACCTGTGATTGCATCTATATAGCTTAGGCACATGTACTGGCTTAACAACGCACGTGTTTTCCATGTCGGGAATTGCGTGGAGTTGAGAAGGAAGATCGATTTCAAATTCTCCCAAATCATCAGTAACAGCTTTGATCCATTTTGATCTCCTTTTGTATCCAGTTTGACACTTTATGGCAACAGTTGCACCTGTAAGGATTAACCATGTTGAAGTGGTTAAGATAGAAGAATAAAACATATAGAGAGAGACTCATGAATAGAGAGGTACCTGGAATAGCTATAGAGGGAAGGATAGGACTTGAAGTGTCGCAGAGAAGAGATCCAGTGATGATCACGGAAGAGAGTTTTTGTTCACCGTAACCAGCCATCTCCACCATCTCTGTTCTGCTCCATATCTTTCCTGCAGCTGCAAACGCTCCTTCAAACAAGAACAAGAACAAGAAGAAGAAGCAACGTAAGCTTCTCATTTAAAATAAATTTTCTTTTGTTACTTTCGGTTTAAGAAATGGAAGAAGCATGTTTAAGCAGTATATATAACAAGTTAAAGAAGAGGCTGTATTTAAGGGGGGAGGAGAGACTCTTTGCGTGGCTTCAGGTAACACAGCTCTGTACGGCAGTCTTTTTCATTTTTAATTATATCATTTTTCTAATTAGACATAGAATTTGTTTAAGTTAATGGCTGGCTTTAGATGAGATAGGTCAATCTTTGAAATGAAACAATCAAACCGTCGTTGAAAGAGAAAGAGAGACGGCACTTGGAAGCAATTACTGGGTGGTTCGCCTACTCTCTTTCATATAACTTCATCCTTCATATTCTGCTTCGTATAATGTATTTAATTGAATTTGGTGCAACGTTTTTGTATGTAATGTGACGTTTCTCCTTTTCTTTTATTAATTTTGTTAAGTAAATTACAATTTGAGATGGAGTGGGAACCAAAGAATCAAGCCTACCCTCAACTATACTCTCTCAAGTCTCACCAACATTTTAGCTTTCAAACACTTGATCCTAGAGATTTCACTTTTTGTGGGTTTGGTTGTCGCCACGTGCTCTCATATCTTGTCTTATGGAGTCAGCTTATAGGGCTTGAGTTTAAGGTTTTGTTGAACAAACCACATATTTCTCAAAATTAAATACTGAAAAAGAGCATGTGCCAAATGAAACTTAGCTAGTTACAGGTCCATTTTTGTTTTGGGCTTTAAATATGAGAATTATATATCATGGCCCATTAGTTTCCCAGGTGGGCAACCATTATATATGTCATTAGAAGCTTAACACATGTCTATAGTAGCAAACTATTTAAGTGTCATGTTGGTTGTGTAACGGATCTGCACCGTTTAATCTTGTATTTTACTATTGAATTTGGATCGCATATATTGAATGTAAATGTTTTGATTTATTTAGGATTATATGGTTTTGGTGAGAGAGTTAAAACATGATTCAAGTGTCATAGTGCTTAGATAGAGAGGCAGTAAAAAACCAGCTTTGGTTACTTAATAACTGTGAGGACTTGTTTCGCTTGTTGTGAGAAAGAAGCTTAATGGCGGGGATGGAGGTCGCGGGTGTTGAAGTACAAGTTGCCTTGTTGATCATGTTCATAGACGCTGAGAGGAGTGAAGCCTTCGTAGTCTCCGTTGGTTTTAGCAGAGCATATCTCTGTCACATACCTTAATAGCTCATGATTCTGTACGAATGGTTGCTTTGTGTATTCCTCCCATGGCATCCACTGCAGGAATTTTCAGGAAATATAAAGAGGTTTTGTGAGTGTTTTAGGTGGTAGAAACTGGAGAGCCTTTGAAAACGGAAATGTTTTTTACCTGAGCTGCCTCTATCTCTGATTCTTGTGCATTGATCTCAAAAGAAAGAGGCTTTAGCATGCACACAAAGAACAAATTTGACTTTTCAAAAAATGTTTTGTGTGTCTGTCTGCCAGTAGTTAAAATAGAAACTAGTCAGAGTCAGTTATAAATAATCAGATGATATGGTTGGAGTTTGGAACCTGAAAGCTAATACTTGAACAAATTCAGTATCCACCTAAAAAAACATATGATCCATGATTAGCTCTTGGACTGATCATGTTAAGGTAATGCATGAGGAAAAGGCTTACTCCTGTCTCTTCTTTAACCTCTCTAACCGAGCCATCATGGATGTTTTCACCCTAATGCAACAACAAAAAGAAACAAAACGCATCAGAGAAGAACCAAACTAAACCATGTTATGTGATTTAGTAAGTTACAGCAGCACCTCATTGACTACTCCGGTGGGGAACTTCCAGATACCTTTGCCTTTAGTTCTTCCTGTCTTCTCTTGAACCACTAGCACCTTTAAATTCAGACATATAAACAGAGATGTGATCAGTCTTGGAAATGTTCCAAAAAGAGACACTGAAAATATATATCATCTCAAATACTTACCTCTTTGTTGTGGTTAATGACAAAGGCAGCGATACTAACACGGTGAGATGCATTGAAAGGAAGCGTATTGTCTTCTTTGGGAATCCAATACACAAGCATCAAGTAGTCCTTCTCCGCGTGATGAAACCAGAACCCTTCCTACTCAATTGAAACAGAAACAGAACCATTTTTTGTTATTTGTGCAAAATGGGGTTTACTTACAGAAACATGATTGCAAGTTCAGCATGAGGTTAACAATACCTTAACAGCAGTTTCAGCTAGACCAATAAGATGCCTTGGCAGTTTGATCCACACTCCCTTCTTTCCCTGCATACACAAAAATCTATCATACTTGTTTGAAAAATGTGAACCGGATCCTATCTAGTTTTTTTAATAGTTGTTAATATAATTATATAAATAATTTTAAACTCTAACATGTTTATTATTCTTTTTGTTCCTAAAAGATACAAGAACACCTTAATAAAAATGATACATGTTTATTATTCTTTTTGTTTCTATAAGATACATGTTTCAAAATTAAAGTTTATTTCAAAAGATGCATGTTTGAAGTTTCTATCCAATATTTAGTTAATAATAGTAGATTGTAAACTTAAATTTTTGAAATGCTATTGATTTTGAATTATGAGAATTAAATATAAAAATAATATATATATATATATATATTTTAAAAAATTTATGATTGTTTAATATATGTAAAACACACATAAACACACATAAACATAGATTTTTTATAAATTTTATTACTTTGATATGTTAATATTAAAACAACCATTCAAATTGGATCCCAACTAACAAACACATATTTGGTTATTTAAGCGAGTTTGAACCAAAATTAGACCAAAAACTTTAGAACCGAAAAAACATGATCCACATTGTCTTTATGGGAAAAGAGAATACACTTAACTTTGCAGCAAAAGTAACAAAGTGTCTCTCTGGCCCGCATTAGAATACAATCATTTTCAAGAAGCGAGTGACATGCACACATTATATCACCCCCCAACTTTTGCAATGATTCTATGCAATAAATTGATACCAATCTCATATTCCGTACACACAACATGATTTTCCATCTAATCATCAAAACCAAATCTATCTACCAGGAAATGGTAACCGCCGGTTATGGAAATTTTCTAGACCATTTCTATCCATCAAAGCAATCTAACGAGAGGTAAAAGATCAAGAGACAGCACCTGAAGAGTCCAGTTAGAGAGAGAGGTTCGGAGAAGTGCAGAGAAGGTAGAAGGATCCATGGGATGACTCATCTCCGTCACCACGCCACCGTACTTGTCTTCAACACCCGGAAGCACTGTAACGCTGCCGTTTGACTCCTCGCCGGCCATCGAGTTTGTAAAGGAAGAAGAAGCAGACATGTATCTGTTCCTCGTCGTGGAGCTACTGTGAAACGCAAGCTCCCATTAGTTGGCTTCATCAACAATTTGATAAAACCATAGTTTTTTTTTATCAATACTCATACAAATAACACAACTTCAAACTCAATGACACAAGATTATCATTTTTATTTCTCAATCCTACAGATTAGATAGGATTAAGTATAGAAAACCTGTTTGGCAAGTAATGGCACTTCCTGTTCTCTTTAGCGTATGAAATCAATTAAAAATAAGGTAGCAAACTTTATGCCTCAAATCTGGTTTTTATAATACTGTATATATGATTAAAACCAAAACTTTAGGAAACACAAGACATGAAAATTCTTGAACGTATAGAACCTGTTTGACAGTACTTTTCACTTTCGCTTTCACCCTAGAGTATGAAACCAACCAAAAGTAACCAGGTCAAATCTGTTTTCATACTATGTGTATGCTTTTAAAATAATAATATTTTTTTTCTTAATGAAACCTAAACATCAAAGTTCCAAACCGTTAATCTGATGTTTAAGGTTAAGTTCAAAAGATAATTGTATATATATGCTGATTAGTTTTTGGATTGTTTGACACGGTTAATAGAAAAAAGGATATCAACTTTCCTCTCCACTATATGAGAATCTAACATCTCTTGATTTCTCACAACTGTATGCCATATGATATTTTTTTCTTCAGCTAGCAGCCTAGCACCATATATTAAGTTTTAGAAAATTTGTACTGGCTTGTAATGGAAAATATCCAACTTTTTTCGTACCCTGATGCCGGTCCTGAAAATTTGAAAACAATAAACATTTTAAACTAAATTTTGATATTTTTTTTTGTTTGAGAGCCATGCGAACTATACTTTGAAGTTAAATCAAATGATTGTTTTTTTTTCATGTTCATGCCTTCTTAACTAAGGATTCAAAACGATCATCTAGATTATGTGAGTCTAGATTATGTGAGATTCTTAGTCTAAATTTTACAAATCTATCTCTAGACCAAAAAAAACTATAAAAATTATAAATTTACTAGGAATGTTGTGTGTGTTTTGACATAACCTAACAGTTTTTAAAAATATTTTCTAGTCTTTATAGGTTTGGAGTAGGTTGTGGATCACTTGGACGAAAGCATGAAAAAAAACAGTACAATTTGGAGATTTCAGAATGAAGCCCCCAGTTTCAAAATAGAACACCCAGTTTCAAAGATTGAATTTTTTAAGAAAGTTCCAAATAATTCGAGACTTTACCTAGGAATCTCTTTTTCCCTCCTGAAGCCGAGACACACCTGCAATATATCAGAACACGTTTCTAATTATTTTTATCAGAACACGTTACTTTCCACATAAATTTTTAGAAGAGAAAGCTTGCAATCTGGTGATGGATGAACCATATTTTTATTATTCATGTAAACTATCATCATGTTTTCTCTATCTATTATCTCTATGTATTTTGTAGCTATCATAGTTACTATGGTCTAATTATTGCTATTTTAGTTCTCTCCATCATTGTTGAGTATAAAGGTTACATTAAACTGATCGCTTAGTCTTAGTGCATGATTATAGATTGACCAAAAGTGCTTTTAGATTGAGAGAAATAACTTGAATGAGTGATTTTCTTATAATCAACAAAAGTAGATGTTAGGACGAATTGTGACTTTATCGAATCTGAACTTAATATTTGTAATCTTTCACTAATTCAAACAACACTTTAAATATTAAGAACACATAATAAAATGATAGATACCACAAAAGTGGATCGACTTACTTGATTGTTGCCAGGGTCGATTCTGGAGCATGTTTAGTAGAACATTCGCCTCACTCTCAAAATTTTTGAAAAAAGTTACATAAGTATAGGCTTCTAAAATTTTTTTTTAGGCCTCCAACATTTGTTTTACATAGAAATCGCCACAAATCTCCAAAATCAGAACCGGCCCTGATTGTTGCGAGTTTAAGACTTAGTGTTCATGATCGTTCGAGTTTGATCGATCCATCGACATAGACTTAACTCTTTCATATTCTAAACCAAACCAAACTAATTCTGTTACTTACTTTATTCTAATTTTTTTATTAGGCATTGAAATGATTTGTATTATCCTGATACTGAACTTACAAGAACAAAATGAAGAAACGGTCATCTATAATTGAACCTCAAATATTACAACAAAAGCTGTAAGTTGCACTAGGAAAGATCCTATTGGAACCTTTGATCAATTACAGCAAACTCATACAATCCATCTCAAATATAATTTTAGTTATATTTTCCTTACTAATAAGACTAAATAATATTCATGACCCAAAGGGAGGAAAATAGGGTTCCTATCTCCGTGGCCTGCGTTGAGCCACACGCCCAAAGTCTTCCACCTTCCCACGAAACTACATGCAAATTCCTTCGTAAATTACACACTACCGGTTAGCCCGGTTCGTAGGACCGGGTAAGAAAACGACTGAAGTAAATGATAAAACAGTGCTTATCTTGCTCATCAAGGGCATATATGTCAAAACACACAGTCCCAAACCAGACTTCTTTTATTTTTATTTTTTTACCCTTTAAACTGCTGTTACTTAGGTTCTGTCTGATTCTTTTCACGCCGCACATTTTTCAACTTTTTTACCTTCTTCCCTTATGGAACTTCTCGCCGGCGGCGGCAACAACTGTCGGAAACGACCCGCCGACGACTTCACCGAAGATGTTGACCCATTCGATACCTCCGAGTGGATGTACGGTGGTGGTGGCCGTTCACTGAGAACACAAGGAAACGACGACGCTTTGGCTACGCTTGCAGACTTGGCGCCGCCTCCTCAGAAACTGAAACCCATCAGGTGCGTCGTGAAGCCTCCCTCTGAGGAGGATCGACATCCTCTTGATATTCTCGCCGGGAGTCTAGATAGGCTGCCGCCGGAGATGGGGTTTTTAGGAGAGGGTTGCTTCGAGGAGGCTCCTTTGGGTTCGAAGATTGCTGATGTGGAGGAGAGTGGTCAATTGGCTCGTGGGTTTGACAAGGATGAGGTTCAAGGTCGAGTCTCTAGACATGATGGTGTGTCTTTGAGGTAATAATATCGTTAAGAGTTTTTTTTTTTTTTTTGCATGTTGGTTTTGGTCACAGTTGGAGTTTGGATCTTTTACTGTGGAAAGTAAGTAATTTTACTTTTGCTATAGGTATCATTTGATTCTAGATTTCTTGTACATATCAGCTAGAAGCTTTTAACTTTTTTCACAGATAGTTAAAAATGTGGCGTTGTTACAACTTTTTTTCTTACAGTGATGGTTTGTTTGGTTCTGATTGTTGTTTATACCAATTGTAAGCTGTATTAGAAGCTTGTTTGGTAGAACTGAACACATTCCTACTCTCTCTTGATGTTTGCTACATTCAGGTATCATTTGATTCTAGATTGGTTTAACATCTTAGCTAGAAGCATTTAAGATAGCTAACAACTTGATGTGTCTTCATTGCTACTGTATACAGTGATGTTTATTTGGTTTTCTGAGTGTTGTTATACCGCTTGTAAGGAGTATTAGTGCGCATTCTTGGATTTTGTGGACAGTATGTTCAAATGCGCAGTAAATTTTTGTTTAGATGCTGAGCTTGGAAGTGGTTTATCTGGTCGTAGCACATACATCTAGGATTGTTATTTCCTAGATAGTGTGTTCAAATGTGCAACAAAGTTTTGTTTAGATTCAACTTTCACAGATAGCTAACAATTTTATGAGTTGTCATTACAACTTTATGTAGTGATGGTTTGTTTGGTTCTGAATGTTGTTTATACCATTTGTAAGGAGTATTAGTTTACAGGCAGTTGTTGGGTGTTAGGGCCAGTATGTTCAAATGTGCAGCAAAGATTTGTTTAGACATTTAGCTTGGGAGAGGTTTTATCTGGTCGTAGCACATCTAGGATTATTATTAGTCCCTAGACAATGAGTCGTTTTTGATTATTTGAGTTTTAACAAGCACTGTCATTAATGATCATTTTTCTTGATTTGCAGCTCGTCTGCGGATAGCGATAGCGACTCTTCCCAGGGGGCTGGTAAGGGTAAAAGAAAGCGGAAAACAAGAGAAAAGATGGAGCATTTCGTGGAGAAGCTGGTGGGGAGTATGATGAAGCGGCAAGAGAAGATGCATAACCAACTTATCAAGGTGATGGAGAAGATGGAGCACGAGAGGATACGCAGTGAGGAAGCTTGGAGGCAACAGGAAATAGAGAGGATGAAACAGAACGAAGAGGCACGGATGCAAGAGATGTCACGCAGCTCTTCTCTCATTTCTCTCATCAAAAATGTTATTGGTGAAGGTATCGTGATCCCCAACCTCACTATTCCCCCTCAACCATTCCCTAAGTTCCCCAAACAATGTGAATCGGCTCAGAGACAAGGAGATGTGAAGTTTGTGTTTCCAAGCGGAAGAAGATGGCCGCATGAGGAAGTGCAGGCGTTGATAGATAGTAGAAGCCAAGTGGAGGAGAAGACAGGGTGGTACAAGGTTGCTATATGGGATGACGTATCAGCAAAAATGAAGGAAAGAGGGTATGAAAGATCTGCTAAAAAGTGTAAGGAGAAGTGGGAGAACATGAACAAGTACTATAAGAGAGTGATGGAAAGTAGCAAGAAACAGCCTGAGCACACCAAGACTCGCTCATACTTTGAGAAACTAGGAAACTTTTACAAGACCAACTCAGCAGAGAAGGAGAGTGAGGATGTTAAGGAGTAAGATTAAGGTTACGTTTTTGTCAGGGAAGCTTGTAGATGTTTTTTTTTCTCAGAGTTTGAATTTGATTTTTGGTGTAGTTAAAACCTACCACGACTTTGTATTTGTATGATGTTTAGAAGGTTCGAAATAAAAGACAAAAACGTTGTTGGTGATTAGGATCTTGTAACGGCTATAGGAGACGAGAAGAGATCCTCGGTTACATCGACTTTGGCTGACACGTTGTGGAGGTTGTGAGGTTCTGCAGTTACTAATGCTGACACTTGCCAAGTTTTTAGTATTGTTTTCTCTTTATCATCATCATCTTCTTTGCTTCTATATTTGGAGCATTGTTATTTTATACATGCCACAAACCCTAAGGTGTGAACTTTGAAGAAGGATATGGAACGTGGAGACTTCCATGGCTACCGCAAGTTCTCTCTCAACACAACCAATCCTTCTGAACCAGGTAGTGCCATTTTCAGTTGCATGCGGAAAACATTCTCTCATGTTGTTGTTCTCTGCACTTCTTTGCATTGTCATTTTTGTAATGAAATAACCATAGCTTTAGTCAGTCTTAGACTCTAGTGTCCTTATGGCGCATGCAGACGTCATAGAAGTTCAAACTCTCCTTTTTTTTTTGGTTTACCAGCGAAGTTTTTGATGGCGGAGGGGAGCATGCAGCTATCAGAGATCAACCAGCCTAACAAAACCGCTAATGGTGGTGAAGAGGAGTGCACGGTGAGGGAGCAAGACAGGTTCATGCCCATAGCCAACGTGATAAGGATCATGCGGAGGATCTTACCTGCTCACGCCAAGATCTCAGACGACTCCAAGGAGACGATCCAAGAGTGTGTCTCGGAGTACATCAGCTTCATAACAGGGGAGGCCAATGAGCGTTGCCAGCGGGAACAGCGCAAGACCATCACCGCCGAGGATGTCTTGTGGGCAATGAGCAAGCTCGGTTTTGATGATTACATTGAACCCCTCACGCTGTACCTCCACCGCTACAGAGAGTTGGAGGGTGACAGAGGAGTTGGCTACAATGCTGGTTCCGTGAGCATGACCAGTGGCATGGTGGTCAAGAGGCCTAATGGGACCATGGCCGAGTATGGAGCCTACGGTGTTGTGCCAGGGATTCACATGGCGCCGTACCATTATCGTCATCAGAATGGGTATGCTTACAGTGGTAATGGTAATGAACCTGACTCTAAAATGGATGGTCCATCATCAGCAGCTAGTGGCGCCAGAGTTGAACTGTTTCCATCTCAGCAACATAAGTACTGAGAAGAATGGCTAATGAAGTTGACAGCTGTTTGGTATCTAACCCCTTCAGTTTATGAATTCAAGTTTAAGCAAAAAACAATGATGCTTTGTCTTTGTTTATATTCTCCTTTTAAGGAACCTGGTGTTTAATATAATCCATCTTGTGGAAAGTGTGTCAATAAAAAATTAGGCTTCAAAACAGTACAACATAAAGAAACTGAGAGTAAACTTTTTTGTAGTCTTGACTCAAACATATATAGTGTTCAACAGGAAATAGAAAACATATCTCATAAGCATAATCTTCATCTAGCTACCATTTTCTAGAGGAACTTCAACGCATATCTTTTTCCTCTCCAAAAGATCATGTTTCTCCTCACTCTCGTCTTCACCCTCTTTCTCTGGATGCTCTTCAGAGAGAGATTTTGATTTCGAACAATCTACAAGATCAACTCCAGTTCGTTTCCTCTGAGGAATGACAGTAAAGAACGATGTTTTCCAGTCCCTCGTCTCAAGAAACTTCACGAGTATCTCCACAACTTGATTCACAGTGAGAACCTAAATCAAATAATAACCAAACCTTCCATTAGCAACAAAACAGTAACTTGCATTGTGGCCAATAAAACAATCTAAGTAGGCTGAAGATTACAAAACGTATGGGTACATACATACCTGAGAACTAGACATTTTCATATACTCTCCTATAGGAAGCTTAGCAGTTCTGATCCCTTGTTCCTGTGCCTTATTCATAGTGATCCCTTTGAACCGATTCCGATCCACTAACCCACCAATTATATAAACACTCTTGGGGTCAAGATCATCCAAAACAGTCTCAGAGTCAGCCGTAAGATACACCAAACTCTCTTTCCGATCAGCCATAGCCTCAATGTAACACCGACTTTCCTTCTCTATAAACCATTTCTCAAAACCCGGAAGCTTATCAAGCTGAGCACTCATCTCCCCTTTCACTCCCGTTAACCATAGATGACAAGGGGTCGTGCTCCTCCCATTCACCGCATAGCAATACATTATCTAAAAAAACATCAAACCAACACATAACGAATCAATAAACCATACAAGAACAGAGTAAAGTTTCAACCTTTGTTGAAAAAAAACAGAGTTTTTATCTGAAACATCAAAGCAACACACAACGAATCAATAACCATACAAGAACAGAGTAAAGTTCGAACCTTTGTTGAAAAACAGAGTTTTTAACTAACAAGGGAAAGCTTGAAGCTTTAGTTGAAAGACAAAAGACCCACCTGCTGAACGAGGCTGTGGATCTCTGACTCAGACATGAGATGAGCGAAATCAACATCTACGACGACGTTTTGACCGACTTCTTTAGCTTTAGTGAGCCGTTCCATCTTCTTCTCTTTCTCCTCTGATCTCTTCTCCATCCTCTCCTTACGGAGACTCTTCCTCGACTCGATCAGGTTTAGCCTCTCTTCCTCCGTGGCGTTCGCTAGGGTTTCCTCCCACTCCTTGTGCTTTCTCTCGCTTTCTTTACGCTTGTGCTCCTTCTCCTGTGCCTTCTTCTCTGCTTTCTTCGCTTCGTATCTCTGCTGCTTCAGTTGCTTCTTCTGAGCGTTCTTAGAGAGAGGTTTCTGCTCCGAGGGAGGTGAGAGGTTGACCGGAGCCGGTTCTGAATCTGGTTTGAGGTGGTTATCGAGGTTGTTGTCGTCATTTTCCGTCGCCGTCGCCATTGTCACGAGACGCAAGAGTGCAAGGGTTCAGAGAAAGGGGAAACAGGTGAAACGACGTCGTTAGGAAAGACTTTTCAAGTCTCACACTTATGGGCCTTTAACGGGCTAGTTATTAAGGCCCATTAATGAATTGGCTTTGGATGGGGCAAATAGCAAATAGAAGAGAAAACAGAGGGCTTAATTGTTAAAATAAAGGAAATGGAATGCACTCACAAACGACGTCGTTACAAAGCTTTACTGTTAGGCCTATTGGGCCCATTTATAAGGGCTTCATAGATGGGGTAAAAGAGTAAATAGAAGAGAAAATAGAGGGTATTATTATAAAAACAAGGAAAATACAGAAGAGATGAGAGACACAAACCCGTAAGTCAGCAAATCGGCCTGTTGTGTTTTTTTTTTTTTTGGTTTGGAGAGAGCGCTCAGATCGGATGTGTTCGAAAGAGTGACTCTCTGAACATCAAATACAAACCAACGCAAAAACAAGAAAGAAACCCTTTTCTTCGTCTTCTCCATCTTCGTTTTCAGTGCTCTGTCTCTAGAAGAAGAGCACATCGTAGCTTAGGTTAAGAGTTCTCTGTGTTTTCACTCGTGATGGCTCAAAAGCCAGAGGAGCAGCTTAAAGAGCTCGGATCGAAGCTTGACCCACCTCCTTCTTCTAAAGATTCGTTGCTCAAACTCTTTAAGGTGAGCTTTTCCCTCTCTAATTCTCACGAATTTTATCATCTCTGGTGAACAAAGTTTCGATTTAGGGAATGTGACAGCTTTGTAGGTTATCCGTTCTTGGTAGTGTTCGTTAACTGAGCTAGTGTGTGTTCTTGGAGCTGCTTTAGGGCTTGTTTGTAAACAAATCTGTATTTTGCGTGCCCTTCTTATGAATTGTTTTTAAAAATTAGGTCACGATTTGAAACTTGGGTCTTGCTCCTTTCTGGATTGAAGATGCATGTAATTGGCCACTTAGACTTGTCTTGATATTATTTTTTACGACTTTCTGCTTACTAGGTTTGCAATTTTTTTCTTAAGAGACCATTTTACGGTGTGTATAATATGCTTATGTTCAAAATTTTTTCCTTTTGAGTGATGTGGTTGATGTTATAATGTCAAGTTTTTAGGGTTCGGCTGTTAAATACCATGCCTGGTTTCCTTGAGTTCTTGCTATGCTAGAATTTAATTGTGTTATCTTCGGTTGATAGATGCAAGAGATTAGTGCTTCTATTTATTAAATTGTTTGTTTATCAATCACTTTTGGTATAATTGGAAGCGTCTTGGTTGGGTTACTTTTGTAAGATACTTCTCTCCTTGAAAAGTAATCCTGTTGTCTCTCTGATGATGTGTCTAAATGGTAATTCTCAGTGGAGCCTTAATCTTAATAACTCACAGTGTCATTAACTTGGTGTGTTGCTACATATAGGAAGCTGCTGTTCGTCTCTCTGAATTGGAGCAGTCTCCGCCAGCAGCAGTGCTGAAGTCTATCCAGCCTTTTCTGGATGCAGTTATTAAACCTGAAATTCTCAAGCATCAAGACAAAGATGTCAAGCTTCTTGTTGCAAGCTGCCTTTCTGAGATAACTCGTATCACGGCACCTGAAGCGCCTTACAGTGATGATATTATGAGGGTTGGTTGTGCTGAATTTCCACTAACCGTGATCACAGACATATACACTGCTGATTTGTTCCGTTACTTGACCTTGTTTCAGGATATTTTTCAACTGATTGTGAGTGCCTTTTCTGGGTTGGATGATGTCGGTGGACCATCGTTTGGAAGGAGGGTTGTCATTTTAGAAACGGTTGCAAAGTACAGGTCTTGTGTAGTGATGTTGGATCTGGAGTGTGATGATCTGGTGAAAGAAGTCTTTACTACATTTCTTGATGTTGCTAGGTGGGTTTCATTTCCAATCTAAGCTTAATCCCAGTTATGGTTTCTTTTTGTGTGTTTTTTCTCTGGGGCTTCGTACTGAAAGCTTGTTTTATATCTGTATATGCAGAGATGACCATCCGGAGGTTGTTCTCTCATCAATGCAAAGTATAATGGTTGTTCTGTTAGAAGAGAGTGAAGATATACAAGAGCAGCTGTTACTAATCCTACTCTCTAAATTTGGCAGAAATAGAAGTGTGAGCATTTCTGACGTTGGCTGATATTATTGTAGTTTAGGATTTGCTGCTGTTTATTTTGACAGACCGCTCATTTTTTTGGATTTATAATGGCAGGACGTTAGAGATGCTGCGAGGAGACTTGCTATGAAAGTCATAGAGCTGTGTGCGCCAAAAGTTGAATCTGACATAAAGCAGTTCCTTATCTCTTCAGTTTCTGGAGATAGCGGATTCTCCAGCAGTCAGATTGACTACCATGAGGTTATCTATGATTTGTACCGCTGTGCTCCGCAGACCCTATCCGGGATTGCACCATATCTCACTGGAGAGCTTCTGGTAAATTGTTATTCTGTCTTTTGCCTCTATTCTGGATGTCGAACACTATCATGACTTGAACCATGCATCTGTGTTTTTGTTATTGTGTATTATGTTTGAATAGTCACTTTTATCCTTTTGTTGTTCCGACCCATCTTTTCTAATATGCAGGCTGACAACTTGGAAACTCGCTTGAAAGCAGTTGGATTGGTTGGAGAGTTGTTTTCCTTGCCTGGACGTGTCATCTCCGAAGAGTTCAGTTCAATCTTTTTGGAGTTTCTGAAAAGGCTGACTGATAGAGTAGTTGAAGTTAGAATGGTCATCCTTGACCATATTAAGAATTGCTTGCTCTCTGATCCTTCAAGAGCTGAGGCTTCCCAAATTATATGTAAGCCTTATTTTATCATGTCGTTTGTATACATTTGAACTGACTAATCTTATAGTGTTAATCCTTTTGTAGCTGCTCTTAGTGACCGGCTCCTGGATTATGATGAGAATATCCGCAAACAAGTTGTTACTGTTATCTGTGATGTGGCTGTGAGTGAACTGACGTCGATTCCAATTGACACTATAAAGCTAGTCGCTGAACGGCTTCGAGACAAAGCTGTAAGTTCTATATATCCAGAGTCTTGGTGTCTCAGATAGTTACATGCTAACATAAAGTTATTGGAACTCATTGTGGAACTCATTGTTCTTTTCCTATCAGATGCTCGTAAAAACATACACAATGGAAAGGTTGACTGAATTGTTCCGGGTGTATTGCCTACGGTGTACTGAAGGGAAAGTAGGCACTGGCGACTTTGATTGGATTCCTGGCAAGATTTTGAGATGTCTTTATGACAAAGATTTCAAGTAGGACATTTATATAGTACTTTTTGAAATTTGGCCCCTTTTAGTCTTATATATTGACGTTGTTCACATCTTTGTAATGATGTTATTTATTTTGCAGATCAGATACGATTGAGCATATTCTATGCAGTTCTTTGTTTCCAAGTGATTTCGCTGTGAGAGATAAAGTTAAGCATTGGATAGAAATCTTTTCCGGGTTTGAAAATGTGGAGACAAAAGCTTTTGAGAAAATACTGGAGCAAAGACAAAGGTCTATTTGATGATTTTTCTTAGCACCTAATCCTTTTGCATAATCATTATCATCCCGTCTTTTCCTTTTTGGTATCGAAGATTGATCTTTGTTCTTCTTGATCTTTAGGGTACAACAAGAAATGCAAAAATATTTGTCATTCAAGCAACAGGTTCGACAAGAACTTTTTCTTTTGCTTTCGGTTGGATTTTTTTTACTTAATTTAGTTTCATCAGCCGTAATCTTATGTTCAATGCAGAGTGCTGACTCTCCTGAGATGCAGAAAAAGATCCTATTTGGATTCAGAGTTATGTCACGTGCATTTTCTGATCCCGCAAAGACCGAGCAGAACTTTTTGATTCTTGATCAACTGAAAGATGCTAATATCTGGAAGATTTTGAATAATCTGCTTGATCCCAACACTAGCATAATGCAAGCGTCCAAGATTCGGGTGAGAATAACCGTTAACCTTACAACTTGGTTGTGTTTTAATTTGCAAGTAATTTAAGATGAATTTCCGTTAACCTTACAACTTGGTTGTGTTTTAATTTGTGTGCAGGATGATATGCTTAAAATACTTTCTGAAAAGCATTCTCTCTATGAATTTCTCGGCACCCTCTCCATAAAATGTTCTTATCTGCTATTCAGCAAAGAATATGTGAAAGAGATATTAGCGGAAGTCTCTGCTAGAAAGGCTTCTAAACTTATTTCAGGAGTTCAATCTTCCATGGACTTCTTAGGGGTAATCACTTGCCTGGCATATCTTTTATGTACACTAGCTTTGCGTGGGGAGTTTTTTTCTTCCAAAATCTACTATTGCCGATTACATCCCATACTCCTATTCTTTTTTCTTTTACTGTTAACCAAATCCACCATATTGATGCATTGCATTGTTTTTTTTAGCTTCTCGCAAGTTTCTGCCCATCACTGTTTGACGGGGCTGAAGAAGAGCTGATAGGTTTCCTTAAAGATGATGATGAAATTATAAAGGAAGGTACTCTAAAAATTCTGGCAAAGGCAGGGGGTACTATTCGGGAGAATCTCATTGTTTCAACGAGGTGAAAGTCTGAACTCTTTCGATATATAAAAGTATCATGGAGTTCACGTCATGTGTAGGTTCCTACTTTTTGTGATTGATAATGTTTCTCCTATTGTCTATGTAAAGTTCTGTGGACCTGCTACTGGAGAGAATGTGTGTAGAAGGTAACCGTAAGCAGGCTAAGTATGCTGTGCATGCACTAGCATCAATTACAAAGGATGATGGCTTGAAGTCGCTCTCTGTTCTATACAAGGTGGCAGATCTGTTTTCTCATTGATCTTTTGCTTAATATCATCGCTAAGATATAGTTCATATGGAGTATCTGAAATTGTGGAATTGTAATTTGTGAATTTTCAGAGTCTCATAGACATGCTGGATGACAGGAGACATCAACCAGCCGTTCTTCAGAGTCTTGGATGCATAGCTCAGATTGCGATGCCCGTCTTTGAGACTAGAGAAACCGAAGTCGTTGAGTTTATTAGAGACAAAATCCTCAAAAGCGAAAG